GTGTATGCTAAGAAGACATCTACATTTGAAACCTTACAGACTATGCCTCATTCAGGCATTTACCAAGACCTTGCACTTTGTGCTTGGCCTGCAAGATCCCCAGACCTCACCGTGTGTGATTTTTCTTGTGGGGATATGTAAAAGATCACATTTATGTTCCACCACTACCTATTAACCTTGATGACCTTTAACATCAAATCACAGCAGCGATCAACTCAATGGATCATGACATACTGGTATGCATCAGGGAGGAATTCTCTTATCACATTGATGTTGCCCATGTTGCAGGTGGTGAACATTGAACACTTGTAAGATAGGAAATAAAATTTGATTGTGATGTAATGGAATATCCTGTCACCCCCATGAGTGACTACACTATAGGTAGTAACAACCTATAAGTATCTGTAAGTCAATGGACTACAGAGTCTAGCTGGAATCTGTTGAGTATGACTCAGACTTACACGAGAACTACCGACCTTCCAATAGTAGCACTCACTACTCAATTGACTTGCGACAACCTTGTGCATAACTGTTACCTTTATTCTTATTGTACTGGTTTTTTACAATAAACCTTTACTTAGTTTATCCACCATGTTGTTCAAGTATATATTCCTATTAACACAGAATATAACAGATTGTGAGTAGAATACTTGTGACTTGGCTGGAGTTTTCTACTGCTTTTCCTTATAAAAATATTGCGTAATAAAAGTGGTTCATTCTTTTTTAATAACTCTGTATATATGAAGAGAGAGAGAGAGAGAGAGAGAGAGAGAGACTGAGACACACAGCAAAAGAAAGAATATAGACAATGAAATCAACACTGAATGGTGTCATTTTCATGCCTCAACATGATCTTCAGACCAAGTGCTATAATTCCTTCAGTGACCTATATACTCTGTATATAAGTCAATGAAGTAATAGTGACACTTGGTCTGAAGATTACTGTGTGAGACTGACAGTCTCCATGCAGTGTTATGCCCATGTCTACACTCTATATTCATAAATTTTGTGTCTATGATATTAATCACTCTTCATTTATAAATATAGCAAATTTTAAGCAATGTGTGTGTATGTGTGTGTGTCTGTGTGTGATTTAATCAACAAATTTTGTAATTATTAAACTTAAAATTTATCTGTTCAAGTTTCAACACTCAGTCTGTACAATGTTATTTATAGAAAATCAGATAATCAGATAAATGAATCATTTATGGTCAGGAATTGATGCAAGAATTATAATCAAAAAAGAGATTTATGTAGCTTTATATATTTACTAGCAGCCATAACCAGCTGGTCAGTCAGAAAAAGCATTCAATTAGAATGGAGCAAAAACAACATCATGTTCGATAATAGGAGGTTGATCACCTACCTGATTTTTTGGCACTATTTCATGATATATAACATAGATAATGGCTCGAAAAGAACCTCAAAAATTATACTAATTTATGTCAATGATTCCATAAGAAATTTCAGGTAATTTGTATTTTAAGCCCCATGCTAAGTATCTAATAAAAATTTCCCAAACAGTTATTTTTTGTTCTAAATTTACATGCCTAATTGGCAAATAACAAAGAAGATAGCCCAGAAAATTGCTAAAATAGGGTGGAATTCCTAAAAAAGTGAGCGATATTGAGGGTATGTGTGCAAAATCTTGGGATCCACCACCCACCCATGGTACACCAGGTACCATGGTAAAGTGGTTTGCCTAATAGCAGTGGACTACTGTATTTACTTTTTTTATCACTAATACTACTACTGTGACTACATCTGATATGCTACTACCATCAAGTGCTCTGGAATCATCAGCCAACACCACCTCAGTTATTATCTTTACCACCACCATCGTTAGTGTCCATATGGACAGTCTGTATTCAGTAAGTTGATAAGTAACCAGAAAAGTTAAGTAGCCACAAAACAGGAAATCGTTGCAAGAAAAAAAAAATGCAGCAAGAGATGAGAAGACACACAGAATTAACTGGAGCAAGAACCCAGAGCTGGCAATGAATCAAAGGTCAAAGTTCAAACACCAAAATTCCTACAACAGAAACTGTTCCACTGAAAAAACTTTTTGACCTCGTTTTTGGATAAACATCCTTTTTTCCTTTTATTTTTCAATTTTTTTAAAAATGAAGAAAGATGTCAGGGAAAAGATGTCAGGCATCTTTACTTTGGGTTTAAGAATTTTCAAGAGAAGCATTTGCGTGAGTGAAGGTAAAAATTTTTTTTTTTTTGTATCTCTTGCTGACATTCAAACACTCTAGGTTATCTGAGCCATCTTTCATCAACTTAACACCATTAGAATCAAAATTATTCGTTGAATTTTCAAAGGTTACTCAGCAAATGTTTAAGTTTTATTTTTAGAAGGAGATTAAATTTACCCCAAAAAACAGGTATGATAAATGATTCATAAAATGTTCTTTAAAAATGTTCTTGCTCTCTCTCTCTCTATCTATCTATCTGTCTCTCTTTCCCTTACACTTTCTTTCCTACTCTCTCTCTCCTC